CAAGCTGCACCTTTTACCCCAAATACACTGATCAACCACGACCGTGGTCCTGCACGCTACTGATGCCACTCCCTCCTCTGCCTCAGATGGGACCATTGGTTTTCACCTACTGCAGCAGCTGCTGGGTGTTTGACACCAGCACTCATCATCACGGTGGGGAATCACTTACAAAGTAAAACAGAGATAAAATGAAACAGTTCAGCTATAAAAACATGAATCTCATAAAGAAACGACAGTCAAAGCATGAACAAAAAGAGCAATTCCTCAGATCTGCCGCGAGACCATCTAAACCCTGAATTCTATCCACAATATGATTCATATAACAACGATGACGGTTTATCAAGACCATCTGCTTAGGTTAAACACGGCATCAATCACAGCAATATTTATGCTGTTACAAGGGTTTTTTATCCTCAGACAGGTGACTGATTCATCACCGGAGTTTGGTGTAAAGCAATCAGAAACAAGAAGTCTCAGCAGCGTTCATCACGCCAACAGAAGCCAGGTGGATTACTCCAGGGTAAATGTAGAGATCTCAAAATAAAATTTAGCACCTTTTCAGGACTTTGTAAGACTTTCTAAAATATAACTATGACTTTATTGCAATTAACTCATTCACAGCCAATGACAACTAAAGTCGTCATTTGCATTTTTTTACTGTGTGGGCATCGGAATGGGCCCCCGCAGCGTGAGAACAAACATCTCAGCTCTGAAGCCGATCTTCATCTGCATACGTCACACGTCACGTGATCAGGAAGCAGAAAATCCATGCGTTAGGAGATCGTTTAGGGCCGTTCCTGTAAAAAAAAAAGTGAGGCGCGAACCGGAAAAGCTCATGCCGATCGCAATTCGGGTCCGGGTCGGGAAAGAGGTCCTACCTCAAGTGGAGGAGTTTAAGTATCTCAGGGTCTTGTTCACGAGTGAGGGTAAGAGGGATCGGGAGATCGACAGGCGGATTGGTTCAGCGTCTGCAGTGATGCGGACGCTGAGTCGATCTGTCCTGGTGAAGAGGGAGCTGAGCCAGAAAGCCAGGCTCTCGATTTACCGGTCGATCTACGTCCCAATCCTCATCTATGGTCATGAGCTTTGGGTAATGACCGAAAGAACGAGATCGCGGATACAAGCGGCCGAAATGAGTTTCCTCCGTAGGGTGGCCGGGCTCAGCCTTAGAGATAGGGTGAGGAGCTCAGACATTCGGGAGGGACTCGGAGTAGAACCGCTGCTCCTCTGGATTGAAAGGAGTCAGTTGAGGTGGTTTGGGCATCTGGTCAGGATGCCTCCTGGACGCCTCCCTGGGGAGGTGTTTCGGGCATGTCCTGCCGGCAGGAAGCCCCCGGGTCGACCAAGGACACGTTGGAGAGGTTACATCTGGTCTGGGAACGCCTTGGGGTCCTGCCGGAGGAGCTGGTGGAGGTGTCCGGGGAGAGGACGGTCTGGAGCTCCCTAGTTGGGATGCTGCCACCACGACCCGGACCCGGATAAGCGGAGGAAGAAGACGACGACGATCACAATTCGACAACGGATTATGAAAGAACAGATAACGCTTGAAACACGCAGATTCTTCCTGATGTAAGAGGGAGTCTCCTCTTTTTTTGGTTGTTTTGGCGTCGACATCATCCTAGCGTGCAACATTCTGTCACTCTTAAAAAAAAACCAGTAAAAACGGCGAGAAACGCTGGCAGCAAAGGGCTTTAGCGATCAGGAAACGACTGGCAGCGAATGAGTTAACCAATCAACTACGATTTCTTTTCAAATACTGCATTGTTTTGTTTTCCTCTTCATCAAGTAGCAGGATACGTCAATGAACTGGGATGTCGATTTATGAACGTTCAAGACTTTAACACATTCACTGCCAATGACGATTATGCATTTTTACTGTGTGGGCGTCAGAACAAGCCCCCGCACCATGAGAACAAACATCCCAGCTCTAAAGCCGATCTTCATCCGCATACGTCACACTGTCACATGATCAGGAAGCAGAAAAACCATGTGTTAGGAGATAGTTTTGGGCCTCTGCTGTAAAAAAAGTGAGGCGTGAACCGGAAAAGCTTCTGCCGATCACAATTCAACAACGGATTATGAAACAACAGATAAAGAACGGATAAAGCTCGAAACGCGTGGATTCTTCCTGATGTAAGAGGCGAGTCTCCGCTTTGTTTTGGTTGTTTTTGCGTCGACATCATCCCAGCACGCAACGTTCTGCGACTCTTAAAAAAACGGTGAAAAACGCTGGCAGCGAATGAGTTAAGACCCTGCGGGTACGCTGTAATCAGTCTCCATGTTTGATAGGGATGTGAATCTTAGAGCAACTCACGATTTCATTCGATTCCGATTCTTGGGGTGCCGATTTGATTCAGAACGATTCTCGATTCTCAATTTAAATCGATTCTCAATTTAAATCGATTTACAATCAGTATTAACAAAGAGTGTCAGCTCCAGGATTAACTACAGGGAGTGCAGAATTATTAGGCAAATGAGTATTTTGTCCACATCATCCTCTTCATGCATATTGTCTTACTCCAAGCTGTATAGGCTCGAAAGCCTACTACAAATTAAGCATATTAGGTGATGTGCATCTCTGTAATGAGAAGGGGTGTGGTCTAATGACATCAACACCCTATATCAGGTGTGCATAATTATTAGGCAACTTACTTTCCTTTGGCAAAATGGGTCAAAAGAAGGACTTGACAGGCTCAGAAAAGTCAAAAATAGTGAGATACCTTACAGAGGGATGCAGCAGTCTTAAAATTGCAATGCTTCTGAAGCGTGATCATCGAACAATCAAGCGTTTCATTCAAATTAGTCAACAGGGTCGCAAGAAGCGTGTGGACAAACCAAGGCGCAAAATAACTGCCAATGAACTGAGAAAAGTCAAGCGTGCAGCTGCCAAGATGCCACTTGCCACCAGTTTGGCCATATTTCAGAGCTGCAACATCACTGGAGTGCCCAAAAGCACAAGGTGTGCAATACTCAGAGACATGGCCAAGGTAAGAAAGGCTGAAAGACGACCACCACTGAACAAGACACACAAGCTGAAATGTCAAGACTGGGCCAAGAAATATCTCGACAAATTTTTCTAAGGTTTTATGGACTGATGAAATGAGAGTGAGTCTTGATGGGCCAGATGGATGGGCCCGTGGCTGGATTGGTAAAGGGCAGAGAGCTCCAGTCCGACTCAGACACCAGCAAGGTGGAGGTGGAGTACTGGTTTGGGCTGGTATCATCAAAGATGAGCTTGGGGGGCCTTTTCGGGTTGAGGATGGAGTGAAGCTCAACTCCCAGTCCTACTTCCAGTTTCTGGAAGACACCTTCTTCAAGCAGTGGTACAGGAAGAAGTCTGCATCCTTCAAGAAAAACATGATTTTCATGCATGACAATGCTCCATCACACGCATCCAAGTACTCCACAGCGTGGCTGGCAAGAAAGGGTATAAAAGAAGAAAAACTAATGACATGGCCTCCTTGTTCACCTGATCTGAACCCCATTGAGAACCTGTGGTCCATCATCAAATGTGAGAATTACAAGGAGGGAAAACAGTACACCTCTCTGAACAGTGTCTGGGAGGCTGTGGTTGCTGCTGCACGCAATGTTGATGGTGAACAGATCAAATCGCTGACAGAATCCATGGATGGCAGGCTTTTGTGTCGTTGCAAAGAAAGGTGGCTATATTGGTCGCTGATTTGTTTTCGTATTGTTTTTGAATGTCAGAAATGTATATTTGTGAATGTGTAGATGTTACATTGGTTTCACTGGTAAAAAATAATTGAAATGGGTATATATTTGTTTTTTGTTAAGTTGCCTAACAATTATGCACAGTAATGGTCACCTGCACACACAGATATCCCCCTAAAATAGCTAAAACTAAAAACAAACTAAAAACTACTTCCAAAAACATTCAGCTTTGATATTAATGAGTTTTTTGGGTTCATTGAGAACATGGTTGTTGTTCAATAATAAAATTATTCCTCAAAAATACAACTTGCCTAATAATTCTGCACTCCCTGTACTTTGTAGTACAAGTTAGTTAAAGCTATGGGATATTTTTATTTGACTTTAAACTGGTCGTGCTCCAAAAATGCTAATTTACAAGGTAAAATAAAGTGATTCTAAAACTGTAAACAGAAGCAATCTTTAGACCAAAAGGCAACAATTATTTTTGCTTACCTTGTAAAATATAACAAATCTGTAGTTACCTAACAGTAGCTTTGAAAGTAATACGGTCAAATACTTTGCAAGTATGTGTAGAAACAAGTTACACGAGTAATCTTGAGTACTCATTTATCAACTTGGAAAATAAATATGAGAATATCTCAAATTTCTGAGTATGGAAAAAATTACATTCAAGTGCCCTCTTATCAGCAGATTCAAACATAAATCATCTCAATTTATGGGACCTCAAAAGTAAACGGAGTACTGACTCTCCTAACAAAGATTTAAAAAAGTGCATCTCAAACCTGTAACATGCCAAATATTTGAGTTCTTGGAATCGATTCAGAACCTTTGTGAATCGATTCTGAATCTTTATAAGAATCCTGATTTAGACTTGAATCGATTTTTTTCCAGCACCTCTAATGTTTGGATTCTGACCCAACTGGAATTCAAAATTGTTTTCATCACATACAGGTAATTTCTGAAGGGCCTTAAATTACCCATAAGGCATTGAGGTAAACCCAAACTAGCGTGGCCATCATTACCCAAAAGCCTTTTGTCTACAGTAGTCGGGGGCATTCATATTATTTTCCCCGTTCTCAAATTTGTTTAAATTCCAACGTTTCGGTCACAAACTCAGCTAGTACTTAGTGTTGGAGTAAACCACTATCCCAGCATGCACTGCTCTTCTCAACAATACTCGCGTTCAAGCTGATGGGGAGAATAACAACCTCTCAAGTATGTGAGCAATTATTTTCCAGCCAAACTCTAAAAAATCACGTTGTTTGTTAGAAACTGCTTCAGCATCGCCTGTGAGTCTTACTGGAGCAGATAAAAGTTAATGGTCTTACCAACTGGTTTGCTGACTCCCAGAAAACCAGCGTTTCCCAAGATCTTGAATATTTTGTGCGCTGGAAACGTTCTCTCTGCTTCCCACTTGTCCACGTAAGGGTTAATCTCCTGGTCGATGAGCTGCAGAGTAAAGATAACAGTTGAGAGATATGATGTTGTTGCTGTGTGTGTGTGTGTGTGTGTGTGTGTGTTGGGTTATATATGGAATTTAAAATTGAATGCAGATGTTTTCCACATTTCTGCATACGCATGCATCATTTCTCTGTTCTGTTCTGACTCTAATAACATAACAAAACAAATATCATTTATTTCTATAGCAACCACGTGGAGGTCATGACACTTTTAATTCCACACAGAATCAGAGAAAACTGGTTCTGAAGGATAACACTGACCTTTTCCATCTCAAGGTCTTCATTCTCTTTCTAAGGCATTTCCATTAACCATTTGCATCGAATGAGTCAGGGTTTTACGTCACTTTGTTCTCAGAAAGGTGCAGTTAACCTCTGGAAAAAATAAAGTAGCACACAAAAAACTCATACTAATGGAGTTCCTTGTAGGTCAGCAGTCGATTCATTATCTACTGAGGCAAAAAGCTGCCAGAAAAATAAAGGCTTGAGATAGAAGATATAAAAAAGAGAAAATGTATGCATGTGTATGCATGCATGTATGTGTGTATGCATGTATGTTTGTATGTATGTATGTATGTATGCATCTATGTATGTATGTATGTATGTATGTATGTATGCGTATATGCATGTGTGTATGCATGTATGTTTGTATGTATGTATGTATGTATGCATCTATGTATGTATGTATGTATGTATGTATGTATGTATGCGTATATGCATGTGTGTATGCATGTGTGTGTGTATGCATGTATGTATGTATGTATGTATGTATGTATGTATGCATGTATGTTTGCATGTATGTATGCATGTATGTTTGCATGTATGTATGCATGTATGCATCTATGTATGCATGTATGCATGTATGTATGCATGCATGTATGTATGCATGTATGTATGCATGTATGTATGTATGCATGTATGTATGCATGCATGTATGCATGCATGTATCTATGTATGTATCTATGTATGTATGTATGTATATATGCATGTATCTATGTATGTATCTATGTATTTATGTATGTATGCATGTATCCATGTATGTATGTATGTGTATGTATGCACTATATATATATATATAGTTTTTTTGCGCATCAATAATAGGTGGAATTGAGTTCTGAAAATGGAATGAAATAATCAATGATTAACCAATAAAGTGTCTGATGTCCTGTGTACAAATGCACATTAGGTTGCTACTGATATTATTTACAATGTTGAATGAATTTTTATTTGATTATGATAGTTAAAAGATATACTAAAATCTCTAGAACTGCAAAAAGTGATACTCTGTCACTCCTCCTGCCAAAACAGTCACCCAAAAGAAAAAAAAAAGCAGGAATTTGTGTCTAAAGTTCAGATCCTGAGGAGGGAAAGGGAGGGACTCGTTGTTGGAAAGTAAAACAAAAAGTTCACCAGGGAGTGATTCTGCATGTCCTCAGTTAGGGGGTGTTTTGCCCAACTTGTGCTTCCCATCAGAAGAATTTCACATCACTTGGCAGCTTTAGTAAGAGAAGGTCAACATCGCAATACGAAGTGTTTCAACATGTCCAGTCTGTGCTTCAGCGAGGAAAAACATCCAGTCAGCGGACTTTGGTCCAGACTTTCCTGTTCATTATTAGTTTACTTAGGGACAGGACACATTAAAAGTGCAGTATGTACTAGGGATGGGTACCGAATTCAGTACTTTTTAAGGTACCGACCGAATTCCATAGTACCGACCGAGCACCGATTCACGTCATTTCAAACGGTGCCTCGTTTCGGTACCCATCCTTCATAACGAGAACTTGCCAAGACACCTGTGCATGCGCAGGACGTTATGTCGTTGGTCCCTGCGAGCGAGTTGTAAACAGAGCAGCATGGTAGAAAGAACGCATGCTAAAGCTTGGGTCCACTTCACTAAATGTGATGGGTAACTGGGTGATGATGAAACCAGCGACAGACAACGATCTAAGTGAGACATCCTCATCTTAATCTGCTCCGATAGGTAAATAAAATGTTTAAGATAACGTTAGCTTGATATGTTAGCTTCCGTTTTGCTAATGGTGCGTTCGCTTTCTCCTCGGAACTCCGAAATTTCCGACTAGAAGAACATGAACGAGCTCTTAAGTTTGGCTTCACTTTACTAAATACGACGGGTGATTGGGTGAAGATGAAACCAGCGACAACGATCTAAGTGTGAGGCATCATCGTTTTAATCTGCTCCAGCAGTTAAATAAAGTGTTAAAGATAACGTTAGCTTGATATGTTAGCTTCCATTGCCACCATTGTTATCAGCTAATGGTGCGTTCACTTTCTCCTCGGAAATTCTAACTTCCCAGTAGAAAAAATCAAATGAAAAAAGACGGCAAAAGGAATGAAGATACACAGTAAATTTAGTTCACATTAAAGATGTTTGCTTCAGTTTAATTATCAGCTTATAAAACTACAAGGACAATGTTAAAATACAAACAGTTGAATCAGGGGTGTTAAATATGTGGCCCGCGGGCCAGATCCGGCCCACAAGCGGGTTAAATCCGGCCTGCGAGATGGTTGTGTAAACTTTATTTTCATACTTTACAATGTAGAGTGAAAATAAACGTATCATTGTGAGCAAGTTTTCTCTGTAATGATTATAAATAAAACAAAGCTGCGCTCAAGGCTCACACAAGAACTTGAATCACATCCTGAAGTTGGCCGCCACTCAGGATGTGACTTCTGATGTTGATGTGCTGGTGAAAGCTAAAATATGTTAAGTAAAATGAGTCAAATATACTTTAAGTGCTGCATGAAACTGATCTTGCCATGTGATCTGTAAGCTCTTTGAATCACTAAGGAATGTTTTTTTTTTATTTGTTGATTTATTTTATTTTTTTTCAAATTTTCAAGTACACTTCAGGTGTTGTACTTGTACTACACTGTCCTCAGGCTCCAGCCTTGTTTTATATTGATTGTATTAAAACAAAGAAAACAATCTGAAGTTTTTTTTTAATTTACCGGTCCGGCCCACTTGGGACTAGATTTCCCTCAATGTGGCCCCTGAGCTAAAATGAGTTTGACACCCCTGAGTTGAATGTTATTTATCGTGATATTTATCAAATATTGTTATACATTGAGAAAAATATATATTTAATTATAAAAGAGAATTAAAATAATAAACATTCAAAAGTATCGAAAATTGGTACCGTTAAGTACCGGTATCGATTCGTAGGTACCGGGAATTAGTACCGGATCGATTCATATGTCAAAGGTACCCATCCCTAGTATGTACGAATTTAGTGAGAATTTTACTGTGAGAAAATCCCCCCAAAATCTAATGCTTCAGTCATTTTGGAAGGAAGGTCATACTGAAACATATTTCATATCCAGCTAGCTACGGGGTTTGTCTCCTTTAAAAACAAAGGAAGGAGGGAAGTAGTGCTGCCACGATTAGTGGCAAAATAGTCGACAATACATGTAATAGTAGATACATCGTTTATTCTAGAAGCCAGGGCTATTCAAGTTTGGGCCTCGAGGACCGGTATCCAGCAAGTTTTAGTGGTTTCTCTGGTCCAACACACTTGTTTCAGTGGTTGAATCACCTGTTCAGCAGTTCATCAGGCTCTGCAGAAGCCTGTTAAATCACCTGCTAATTGAAATCAGGTGTGTTGAAGGAGAGTTAAAACTAAAACGTGCTGGATACCGGCCCTCCAGGACTGGAATTGAATAGCCCTGCTACAGAGCATTTTACTATTGTTGTTGCTAAATGGCCTGTGTTTGTATAGCGCCCTCTACAGTCCCCCAAAGCGCTTTACAACACAATCAGTCATTTACCCATTCACACCCTGGTGGTGATGAGCTACGGTGTAGCTACAGCTGTCCTGGGGCGCACTGACAGAGGCGAGGCTGCCAAGCACAGGCACCACGGGTCCCTCCGACCACCACCAGCAGGCAAGGCGGGTTAAGTGTCTTGCCCAAGGACACAACAGCAGACCTATGAACAAGAGTAGCTCTCTGTTGATGTTAGCAGCTAACGAGGAAATTAGCTTACAGAGGCAACTTTGTTCTCCTGCATGATACCGATGTGCTCCCGTGAAAGTTTCACTTTGCAGATTTTGCACTCAACGTGCTTCTCTTTTGTTTTTGTAAAATGCTCCCAAACGTTTGAGCTACGTCGCCGGCGCACCATGATGTCTTCTTTCTCCCGTGATTCTGATTTGAAGGCTGATCTGGATGGCCACTACTGGGCATGTGCCCCGAGCAGAAAGGTGCAGGCGGTGTTAAAAAAAATGCTCATAGGATAAACGACACGTGCACCTTCTGCAACTATTGGTTAAAGCATAACATCTTTTCTGTGTTAAATCTTAACTTACTTTATTAGACATAACAGAATTATTAATTAGGTAAATAAACCAACTTATATATTCCATCTGTAAGATAAAGCAGACCCTCAGAGCTGTTAATTGCTCCCTGACCCTGACTGCTGAAGTGTGGACCAGCCGTGCAACAGAGGCGTCCCTTGGTGTGTCCTGCCATTTCCTGGGTGAAGACTGGGACATGGTGGAGTGAAAATGATGGTCGTTTCCCCACACTTGCACATTTGCATCACTGCCGCTTCCACCCCATCAGAACGGATCTTCTCTGCAGCTGGGAACATCTGCTCTCAAAAGAGCAAGCCTTTCTCCAGAACATGTCGAAATGCTAACTTTCCCGACTGTGAACAAGAGCCTCGTTTAGGAATAAAGACTATTTTAGCTGGATACATTTGTGAGCACAAGTCAGTTTTGTGTTCCTTTTACTTTAGGGTTTTGGTGTCAACCTCTGTTTGACTGCAGCATTTGTATTAACAGGTTACAAAGTTAATTAAAGTTGTTTGATAAGCTATCATCTTGTCTTTATTAGAAGGCACATAGCTAGAAGCTAATGATGGGTATATTAGAGAATCCTGGTGGAATAAGCTAAGCTCATATGCATGACACGATTTGTCGACTATTTAAATAGTTGTTTGTGGCAGCCCTAGGCGTAACTACTTTTTACCATCAGTGAGTGTGGGGTTGTCGTGTCTCCTGCGAGCCAATACTGCAGCACCAACATTTGTAATTTGACAACAGCGAAAAGCTCCAAAGATGTTTAAAATGGTTGCAGTAACCAAATTGTACCACAGGATGTCATTTAACTTCATTTCTACATATTGCACATTTCTATGTGTGTAAATGTGTCAGTATTAGCTCAAGAGCTCATTTTCAACTGTTGTCCCATGGCAGGATAGATTTAGCCAAACACATAAAAACTCGTACATTAAAACAAGTATACAAGTTGTTTTAGCATATCCAGGAAAAAGCAAAGCTAACTATTAGCACCAACAATGCCAGCACACAGCAGAACTTCTCCAGGCGTGTGTTATTTAAGGAGATAAAACATCAACGTTGCAGAGCAAACAGAGCAGAGTTGCTGTGCTGTTAGCCAATCAGAGGTAAGATGTCCAAGAATCAGGAAATGCGACTCCAAATCCTGTTGTCTGAAACTACTTTCTCCTCCAGCTGACTTGTACTTCCTGAAACAGGTGCATCTGAGCTCCCTCTGAGTGTTCCACACCTTTCAATCCTCAAGTCAGTAATAAAATGAATGCCATTCAGGCTACTTATGGAACATGTGACCAACACGATGTAAGCACAACCAAGTTCTCAGACTAGTGTGAGTGTGATGGTTTTGTTGTGTTGAGGGAAATCCCAGACTGAACCCACATCAAGCTGCTTCCTGGAAGCATTAGGCCAATCCTTCAGTCACGGCAGAAGTGAAACCATCTGACCTGCCCTGGTGCAGCCCACATGTGAAGGACCAAGAGAGGACACACCGAGAGCGTAACCTTGGGTCCTAACTGAGGGATTTCCTGTGTAGATGATTAATAAACACACACTATCCAATGAATTCTTTTGATAAACCATTCCCACTGAAGTTCCTCTTCCTACACTACCAACATATTGTTCTGGATTTCCTATTCAAAGTGTCTTCCTTCCCAGTATTCCCATTTTCCCAGTGACAGCTTATTTTCAGCCTCCTGGTATTTTTACAAAAGGTTTAGTCAGACAGCTTCCCATCAGTTTCTGCAACATTTGTTTTAATGTGCCAAGAACTGCAGGCGGGGGGGGGGGGGGGGGGGGGGGGGTGTTCAGCTGCAAACAGATTATCCCTTTAAGTCCTTTTTCTAGTTTTGCTCTTTTAAACTTGGACCTTTTCCTTAACTTTTTGCGGCGTTGATTTATCGCCCGCCTGGACTGAATGTGGAATTTCTAAAAGACTTTGCTGATTTCTTGGCTATGAATGTGTTGAAATATGATCAGATTTTGATTGTAGGAGATTTTAACATCCATATTTGTTGTCCTGATGAGCCGATGGTCGAGGACTTTTTGCACCTGTTAAGTTCACTGAATCTTTCTCAGTGGGTTAAGGGTCCCACACACGTGAAGGGACACACTCTTGACCTAGTTCTTTCCTCTGGTCTTCAGCCCATTAATGTGGACACGTTGAGGCCTGTTTTCTCAGACCACTCTCCGATTTTATGTAATTGCAGTGTTCCGTCTCGGCAGGTCCCAGCTTCTCTTCCTGAGAGGCGCAGTCGTGCCATAAATCCGGCTAAGGTGGAGAGATTCAGTGAGTGCTTTAGTCTAGCAGGACAGGATCTTCTCTTAGCCCACCTCCCTGTTGAAGAGTTTATTACTCGTTTTGATACGCTATGCACATCTGTTTTGGATGATGTTGCTCCCTTTAAGATTAGGAAAGGAGGGCATAGGGCAGAGCCGGGGATGTCTGAGACCCAGGCCTCCAGGTAGGCCTGCAGGAGAGCTGAGCGAAAGTGGAGGCAAGACAAACTTCACGTGTCCTATGAAATTTATAAAAAGTCACTTTTTGATTACCAGGAAGTGGTACGACAGGCTAGGATAAGATACTATGCCAACATTGTGGAATCAAATTCTCATGACCCACGCACTCTCTTTAAGGTAATTGATTCAGTACTGGAAACGGCAACTTCTGCCTCCAGGTCCACGGCTGCGATGGCCGGGACATGTGAGGATTTTCTTCACTACTTTGTGGACAAGATAGTGATGATTCGGGCTGCTATTGTAGGCCGCGCTCCTGTTTTCGTGGCACCTATGCCACTTAGGGCAAACCTGCCAGCCTTCCAGACTATATCTATTGGGCCATTCCCATCTGTACCGGGTCGGCCCGGGCTGGGTAGCCCCAGTCGGCCCCAGCCTGGCCCGGTTGATTCCACACATCCTTGTCTTAAGCCCAAGTGGGCTGATTCTACCCACCAATCAGAGGCTTGCTCTAATGGAAGGTGTGAATTTGCTGTCAGCAGTGGGTGTGTTGGCCCTGGTCGGCCTGAAGCAGACCCCCTCGAGAAGAGGGCTGAGAATGAGCCTTGGTTACCCCGGAAAAATACCAGGCCACCCAGATATGTAAACAACCTACGCTACCCGGCCCGGGCCGACCCGGTACAGATGGGAATGGCCCATATGACAGAGCTAGAGGAACTCATTTCTAAGCAAAAACCTTCTGGTTCCCCTTATGATGCTCTTCCCCCAAGGATGCTTAAGGAGGCTTTTTCTGTTCTGGACCCTTATATACTGTTTATCTTAAATAAAGTCTGGCCTCTTGTGTGGTTCCCCTTACTTTTAAGAGGGATGTTGTACGACCACTGCTAAAAAGAAGGGGATGGAGGAAACCGTGTTAGCCAATTACAGACCTATCTCACATCTACCTTACGTAAATGCTTGAGAGGGTTGTATATTTACAGTTGGTTGCATTTTTAGACACTCACGAACTCTGGGAGATCTTTCAGTCAGGGTTCAGAGCAGGTCACAGTACCGAGACCGCACTTTTAATGGTTCTTAATGATATTTTTTTAGCTTGTGATGGGGGGGGGGGGGGGGGGGGGGGGGGGTTACTTTGCAAGGACTGGGCTGAGTGAGAAAAAAATTCACCCCCCTCAGAGTTGTCATGAGTGTAAACTAGATCATTTAAACAAAAAAACATGTTTTGGTACCAGGCTGTAAACATGTTTATTTCTGCTGTGAAATTGGTATTTTTAACATGGGAGTCAATGAGGATTTGCTCGCTTCTGACACCAGCCCCCAGCGGATGAGGGTGGAACTGCAATTGTTGCTACTTCCGGGTTGGCTTCAATTTTAAAGCCGCATTGTGGGGGCTTGCGCTCCGCACGGAAGCGGCAAAATAACGTTTAGCGGTCATAACAAGCGGATTCTCAGCGCTTTGCTCATAAAACAGAAGACCTGCAGGCCTCTGTGAGTTAAAACATCCTAATACTGTTTCAGTTGTAATTATTGTGCTCCATCCCTGTGTTTGAACTCTGAAGATGCTTCTTGATGCCACATACGTGTGATTTAGCTTGTTTCTTTATTTTACTCCAGAATAAGAGATTAAGCTATTACAAAAGCAGTTCAGTGTAGTTAAATTAGTCATTCAAATTATTCTAACGTGTGTGTGTGTGTGTGTGTGTGTGTGTGTGTGTGTGTGTGTGTGTGTGTGTGTGTGTGTGTGTGTGTGTGTTACACATATAGAACTGCATGAGAAAGTGTGGTTTCACCAAATCCATGCATCTTATATCTTGGCTGAAGTAATGGCTCAGGAAAATAACTCATATTTCATAAATAATGACGTCTTAATAGTGTCTATGATAATGTTTTATCTTATCTTTGGTCTGGGAGGTGTAACTTATCATGATACAAGCCTTTTAAAACATGTTAAAGTGTTACAAGAGGAGATAAATGCATGAATTTAAAGTTCATGTTTGGAGTCAAACCTTCACAGTTTGGAGGCTCACGCTGGTGAGGAGACACCGTTAGTTCTAGTAACACCTGGGCTCCTGTTCTGACAGGATGGACGTTACGGGACCCTTAAGGATTCCAGTTGGATGATTGGAGGATTATTTAGGAGGATTGGAATAAACAAACTGATTTCAGTGGTGAAGGGTTAAATGAGTGAGTGAACCCACTACCAAGGATGAACTCTGCTAACTTTAAAAATCAGCTGCTCTAAATAAGCATGAAGGTCAGAGAGGAGCTCTAGGATGGACATGGATAAAGGAACTGTGATGTAGAGGTAAAGTAGGGCAGGGCCAACGTTAGCAGCTGTCATACGGTCCATCTGAAATGTTTGACTTTTATTTAGCTTGTTATGTGACAGGTTAGAGCACAGTCTCATGTTAGAGTTTTGTCATGAGAACATTGAGATACCTCACATGCTGATGGCATCATTTCTAAAAATAAAGAATAATTTTAATCACAATTGAAACCTACAATCCTAGAAAAACCTCGTCCAATCAATGTGCACGTCCTGTTCTCACTGATTGGATAGAAATCCCTCCATCAAACAGTGTGTGTGTGTGTGTGTGTGTGTGTGTGTGTGTGTGTGTGTGTGTGTGTGTGTGTGTGTGTGTGTGTGTGTGTGTGTGTGTGTGTGTGTGTGTGTGTGTGTGTGTGTGTGTGTGTGTGTGTGTGTGTGTGCGTGCGTGCGTGCGTGCGTAATTGTGAACTGGCATTGTGATTTTGCACTACTTACATTGTAAACATCTTGATGCTGACAAAAATGTAACTAAGTTACTTTTACTTTGAGTACATTTTATTTACGATACTTTTTACTTGAGTAAAAATTTAGGCAAGTACTTTTACTTGTACTTGAGTAAAAAATTATCAAAGTATTGGTACTCGTACTTAAGTAGGAAATTTTAGTACTCTTTCCACCTCTGCCCTAGACTGCTCAACCCGGGACTCAACTGTTTGATAGTAAGACCAGAAACTTTAAGGTGGTTTGTTAGTTGTGAAATGTTTATTAGATTTGTAAAAGTTCAAAAACAATCTTTAATTTTTCCCTTCTAGCTCTAAAACTACGAGACCTAAAATGTTTATACTCACTCCCTCGTCTTCTAGGCTGTTGTGTCCTCACTAGGGTCACAGGGAATTCGTGTCAATCTGCAGCAGTCATAAGTGAGAGGTGGGGGACACTCTCTGGACTTGTCTCTCTCCAATCCATCATAGAAAGAAGAAGAAAGAAGAAAAGACCTTTTCTATAGAGCTCCGGACCCCACGTGACTCTCAGTTAGTGGATGCCATTTTGGCATGCAAAAAAGGTAAACAAACACGGATGTAACCCTGAACATGAACGGGATCCGCTTGGATTTTACTTCGTCGGAGTTTACTTCACACTTTAAAACAGAAGAAATCGTTTTATATGGTCAGAAATTAAATAGACTAAACATCTCCGACCCTTACCGTGCCCCTGGGATACTTTTTAAAAACGCCAGAAGCAGTCGGAGCAGACTTCTTACCGGCACAACACCGGACCTGGCCGGGGAACTCCTTGGGATTCCCCCGGCCGGAGGAGCTGGGGAGAAGGTCTGGGACTCTCGACTCTACTGCCCGCTCCGACGCCAGAAGCTGTCGGAGCGGGCTTCTTACCGGCACAACACCGGACCTGACCGGGGAACCCCTTGGGATTTACCCGGAGGAGCTGGCTCCGGCGGCTGGGGAGAGGGAAGTCATGCTACTGCCCCCGCAACCCGACTCCGGATACGCGGATGAAAATGGATGGATGGACGGACAAATAACAGATTTACACGTAAGTAGTCTCGGTGAGACAGATAATAGCAATCCAAAGTGCTTTTTATGTGTGATCTGACAATTGATCAACCATTGCTTAAAAATTAAATACAGCTTAGCCGGTTAATTGCTGTCATCATAAAACACGTAAACGGCAGCACGCAGAACTCACGAGGCAACGTTTTACGTGATGTTTACTTGCTGCTATGAGTAATAAGACAGAAAAAGCCACGCCAAAATAAGTTTAGGAAGCCCACTAAGAATCATAATAAAAGCATTTAAAATAAATACCATACACAGTTGAGGAAACGTTGGTTTAAGTACCTGATATGAAGTGGTCGCTGCATAAGCAAAATCCTTTACTCTCGGGATCCCACAGCTTCATTTTCGCCCGGTCACTAGGGCGTTTTATTACAATGATCCAACGTTTGCGGCACTCCGGATCTTGGGGAATCCTGTAGATGGCTCATTCCTTATGTCGTCCGCGTCTGTTCTGCATCCTGGGGCACAACAGGAATCTACCATATTTCCCGTTTGATTGAGTTTTCTGACAATAACAAATAGTCCAGCTGCCGGTTTCTGCCTGCCAATATGGCGCCGTTTCGATTTGAACTGTTGCATGCCGGTAGAAGTGACATCAACTCCCGGAGCTCTATAGCGCCTCTCAAGATAAAAATCATGAGGCGCTTCACAAAAACAAAAAACAAAAATGTAAAAATATTTTTAAAAAATTAGAAAATGATTAAAACTATATTTAAAATGAGCAAAAAATAGACAATTGTGATTAAAAATGTAAAGAAAGAGAGAGAGTGAATAGGAAAGAGGGAAATCAGTGGATTCTGAGGAAGTGAAATAGGTATGGAGAGCAGAACAAGGAGAGGGTGATGAAGGTCATACAAAAACCAGCCTGAACAGGTGAGTTTTCAGCTGCTTTTTAAAGGAGACCACTGAGTCCACTGATCTCAGGCTCAGGGGGAGAGAGTTCCAGAGTCTGGGGGCCACAGCAGCAAATGATCTGTCACCTTTGGTCTTTAGCCTGGTGCTGCACAACCAGTAGGCTTTGATCACTGGACCTCAGGGACCTGCTGGGGGTGTAGGGACTGAGAAGATCACCAATGTAACATGGTGCTTGTCCATGTAAGGCCCTATAGACCAGAACCAGGATCTTGAAATTAAGGCTGCAACAACGAATCGATAAATTCGATGAAAATCGATTACTAAAAGCGTTGGCAACGAATTGCGTCATCGATTCGTTGTGTCGCACAACTCTTCCAAAAGCCCCCCCCCCCTTCCCGCCCGACATTGCGCGCAGACAAGATCAAGTCAGAACAGCGCGAGGGAGAGCCGGCAGACTTGCGCTGCTGCGAACCGGTTCCGCATTGTCGCGCAGCGATCCAGGCAGCTGCTTCCAGCGCACGGTCCATTCTCAAAGTGGCGCAACCAAAAAACTATAATAAGCACACGATCGTTCATGTCCGCACATGTCCTCTATTTTCTGTCTTATTTGTGCCTGAAGCTCGCTACTGCGGAGCTCATCACCTGTGCTGTGGTGATGTCACCTCACTGATGCAGCATCGAAAACGCGCTCTGAGCTTTTCGGTCAGGAGATCCTTTGATCTGCTCAAAAGTAACTGATGAGGTGAAAAGGTAAGAATCCAGGCAACAGATTTTCTGGAGAATTATGAGGAGATGCAGGAAGATGAGAGACAGACAGGACAGGAAAATAGTTAAATAAAAACAAGAAAACAAAACAAAGTGTTGAAAAGTAAAATGTAGGTAGATTTATCTCCACTACACGTTTTTACCAGTAAAAAACAATAAGTTATACACATGTCATATTTATACATCTGATTCAATTCAGATCACCTTCAAAACTCAGTCACACACCCAGGGCCGTTTCAAGACATTTTGGGGGCCAAGGCAAAATGCCCCCCCCCCCCCCCCCCCAACTGGGCTCCCCAGAAGCCTCTGTGTAATCCATACCCTCTCCAGTAGTGTTAGTTATATGGTGTTTATAAAAGCCCCTCAGACATTACTGACATGTTCTAATATTATCAGATGAAAAACTAAATTATCAGACATGCTGTCTCATCTGCTTCTTTTCTAAACTTGCAAAAAGTAACAAAACCATTTGAAAGCCACTATTTGTGGATTCTCTGAAAGTTTCCATGGAGTGTGTGACAACTTATTTTATCACTGATCCTATCGTCTAATCTCACAGCTGAAACAAGCATCCTTAATCATCTGTGCACAGGAAGCTTGCCGATGCTGTAGTAAAACAAAAGGTATAATAATTTATTATTAATAAAACCTTGTTGCAGCACTAAAGCAGAAAAATGAGATTTTGCATTAAATATGCAAAATATTTACATATGAATTGTTTTAGAGCCCTTTAATTGGCAGAATCTGATATCAATTTAGTTCTTACAAAAAATGGGTCCCAACATGGTTTGTGTGGCGTTGCCATAGTGTGATGTCATAGGCACAGATCCCCTGTCCTCTTGTTTGGAAATGGAAATATGATCACCCTACATTAAACAAACTGTCCACCCGGGCTTTTGCGCTGCACAGAGACGCTTCGCTGCCTATGACTTTGAACGTCAGTTGAGAGTCAGTCTCATGCAGACTGACCAATGAAGAGAGGTCCTCAGGTTAAGACCCTCTCCTCATTGGTCAGTCCACACGAGGTGGGTCAAAGGTTACTCTGGGCGGGTTACGTGTTGTCAGGCATTCAAGTATTGAGTATATTTACTGCATATTACAGTAAAATATTCTGTATGTGACCACATTATGGTGATCCTTGGGTCGTGATGATGGAGCCCTTGAATATTGTTGCCCAGGGTACAACAAAGTGTTAATCTGGCCCTGGTTCCGCCGTCACATTCCCGCAGAAACTGGTTGATCACACCGGGGCCAGACTACTAGCATGTGGTTTTACAACCACAATGTCCTCAGAAGCGAAAATGCTTTTAAAAGGGAGGGAGGAGTCCTAACTGTTGCTGCAGGCGTGTTGTGTGAGAGTGCAGTTATATACTGGTTAATATATTTTTGGGTTCAGTTGCTTTCATGTGGCCTAATGTGAGTCTATTTGGGATCATTGGAATGATCAGCAGCATTTCTTGATGTGACTTTATGGCAGTTGCCCAGGGCATCATCGCAAGGAGGATGGCATTCATTTACTTTTGTTTTATTTGGTATTTTTTCAGTCATTTTTGGAAATAGTGATCAATTTTGATTAATTCACAGCCTATGTTTAATTACATTTAAAATAAATGTCAACAGATGAGATCAAACAAAACAGATGAGAATTGCCCTTAAGCTGTTTAACTTGGACCAAGCATTTTAGGTCACAGATAGATGTAGCTTAGGGTCTCTGTCTATACACCTTATAAGACAATTTAGGTGATGGCATGTTGTTTTTCTGCTATTGAACTGTTTTCTAATAATGTTGTGTTAAATAAAGTGAAGGAAGGAGAGAAATAACGTTTCCCTAGCAGTTTTTAAAAATTTCCCCATGTAATCCGATTAATCGATTAATCGTGTCGAGACCCCATCCGATTCATCGATTATCCAAATAATCGTTTGTTGCAGCCCTACTTGAAATGAACCCTGAAGTTGACTGGCAGCCAGTGAAGCTGGAGGAGAAGCGGGGTGATGTGGGTCTGTGTGGAGGACTTGGTCAGAAGCTGAGTACAGGCGTTCTGAACCACCTGTAGACGGTTCAGGGAGGTTCTGCTCAGACACGTGAAAAGAGAGTTACAGTAGTCTAGCTTCGCCTAACTTGTGAAACTACAAGACAGGGATGTTGTGCTGTTTACTTTATTTTTCTCTTTGCATCTTGTCCTGTGAAATACTGGTAAATAAAAAAAAAATACAAGATAAATTGTTCTAGTCTGACCTAAATTTTTGAAGCTAAATCTCAGTTTTTGCAGTTGACCGGTGCAGTTTGTGAACTAGCACTGGTCAAAAATGACCCAAACAAGCTGTGGAAACGTGCTTTAACCAAATGTTGACCCGCAGGTTACCTTCAAGTGCGTTATAAAGGTCATAAAACAGTTGTGTTGACCAACCCTAACACTAACCTGCACCACAGTGTATAAACATCCATCTACGGTACCTTCAGGTGGTAGTGACAGCAGCGGGATGCTAGCTTAGCCTAGCAGTGGAGGGAGCAGACAAACAGGACCTCTCACCTACTTTATTAGAAAACCTAGACCCTGTTTCTTTTCTTTGTGTTCGACAGAATACTGCCATGTTGAGAAAATATTAGTATATTTAACGCTCATAGCCAAAAACACCCACATTCTGCCCTCTGGCCTCAGTTTTTGCTAGCTACAAACTTTTAGATGAATATTAGAAAATCTGCATACCTTCCGAAGGGACTCCTTCAACGCAAAGTGCTCTTGTGTGTAGATTAAATGGTCGGCCGTGGTGTCTGAGGGCTTGAACGTTGCGGGTTTAGCTGACGCGTGTTCAGACAGAGGCCGGACACCCGCAAGCGAGGTGAGTTTGTACAAACTGCGGCTGTTAAACAGCAGGTTTAAACGCAGAGCTCCTCCGTGCAGCGCCATGATTGTTGACAGCAGCGGGGCCGCGCATGCGCACTCGGTGGCAGCACGAATTTTCTGCACTTTTTACAACTTTCCGTTTTTGTTTATTATCTAGAAAATGAAGACTTTCACAGTCTTTATTATTACGTTCAAATGACTAATTAGTGAGATTGACGTCATATTTGTGAACGTCATGATTAGGAGATGCACAGGAACATTCAGTCATAACTTCTCAGAAAAACTTCATAATGATGATACAAGTTAATTTTATTATAAGAAACACCTATAATTTGTAATAATGGGTTTTAATGTCATAAGTATGAGAAATAAAGTAATGATTTTAATTATGATGATGATGATGATTATTCTAAAATCCCATATATGAGCCATAAAGTCATAATTTTTCATCGTCTTGCACTCAATCACATTTCATTTGCACATTTCTTCTTTCATGTTCTTGCTCCCTATAATATTCTGCAAGTCTTTTTTCAGACATTTATTTATATTTTTTTAAAGAGCAAGTCACCCCTACCAGAGTATTACGTCACTCCCACTTCCTGTTTGAAAAATGCAACAAATGTTGTTGCCCAGCAGACCGAGAGGGCGGAGCCGCTAACAGATACATGCGCACTCAGGTTCACAACGACATTGTGACATCATATCGTATCAGCTAATGTCCTAGGGTACCTCTTAGCCAATAGTGATGGCAGATTTAAAGAGCAAGTCACCCCCTACAAGAAATTAAAGAGCAAGTCACTCCAAACCAACATTTTTTTTCCTGATAAACTATATAAATGAGTGTCTGATTGTGCTGTAGACACGTGCAGTCAATAATTCAGCACTTTAGTCCATCTTAGGCCTAGTCCAAACGTAGACGGGGTTTTTTTATAACAAATATCCGCCCCTCCAAAAACTTGCATCCACACCACCGCGTTTTAAAAACAAACTCTGTCCACACGTAAATACGTTGTTAAGGACATGCCAGACCTGTAGGCGACAGTACTTCCCCGTTCTTAACCTCATCCTTCGTCTGTGGTCTTCCGCAAGGAGCAGTAATTCCGCTTGCAAAAACAAACAAGCAGAAAGCGCTTGGACAATTGATGGATCGGGTAGTGACAGAGCGCAGCTCTGAGGGCTTCCATGATGCCGGCTAGTGTAAACACAGGTCGCACACGTGTTGTCAGCATTTTTTTGTCGCGGAAAGTGACGCTGCGGACCTTAAAACTCCGGTTTTGTCCGTCCACACGCAGACACCCAAAACAGAGAAAACGCAGATCTTCACTTTGGCCGGAGTTTTTAAAAAGATCCGTTTTCGTGTGGATGACTGGCCAAAACGTAGGAAAATATCTACGTTTTGGCAGATCCCCGGCTACGTGTGGACAGGGCCTAAGTTGTCTGGCAGACCGAGAGGGTGGCACTGCTAACAAATACACACACACAGGCTCACAATGGCATTGTGACATCATAATGTACCAGCTAACATCATAGCATACTTCTTAGCCAATAGTGGTGGCAGATTTACATTCAAATACAGTGCAGAACTTTTTTCTTGACGATGGCGCAACACTGACAGTTTTAGGCAGAATATTAAAATTTTAACTAAGATGCACTGAAGTGCCAAATTACTGAGTACACGTGTCTGCAGCACGATTAGACACTCGTTTATGTAGTTTATCAGCAAAAAAAGTTGATTTGGGGGTGACTTGCTCTTTAAATTCAAATGCAGTGCAGAGTTTTTACCTGACAACGGCACAACACTGCAATTTTAGGAAGAAAATTCGATTTTTAACTAAAATGCACTCAAGTGCAAAACAATTAACTACACATGTCTGCAGCACAATTAGACACACATTTATACAGTTTATCAGAAAAAATAAGTTGATTTGGGGGGTGACTTGCTCTTTAAATGTGGTACACAATTAAATTTTGTATTTGTTGCATTTATGTCTTTGTTCAGTGCAGAGTGATTTATTCTACTTTATTCCTGTCGTGACAACAAAATATCGCCACTGAGATTAAGATGTATAAAATTAGAGTGATGATAGCCACAATTATTTATGATGGTTAATATTATGATGGTTATAAATTCAAACACAAAATCAAAATTATAGCTTTATGAATCTCTACTGACAAAATAAACTCATTTGACCATTTGATTTCATTCCAGTGGTTCTTTCTTTATTCAGCACTGAAATAAACACGCTGAAGGTTTTTTTGTATTGCATTCGAAGTTTTCCTGTAATCTACCCCAAAGCAGGAATATTAGAAAATTTTGCATATGAGAAATAAATAAATAAATACATACACAGGGAGTTCTTTAAAGTTTATTTTTACCTGTGATTTATGCTGCAGCATATTGTATTATATTACGACAAAAAGTTGGGGCAACTGAATGCGTGCAAACTGAGTTATGGAGATGAATGCTAACTTTTCTGTCAGCCCCGAGGCAATCACAGAGACAGGCTGACTTATAAACATGCACATATAATGACAGCTGCTTCAGTGTTTGAACAACACAGACACCCGTTTGCCCAGACTACATTCACATTTGCCAAATAAACTTATTTATTGCATCTTTTCAAAGAATAAGGTTATAAGGCTACAGATCTGGCCTGAGGATAGGGATTCAGTTTTATGAACTCTTTTTTATCGTGTCCTTCTAGTCTCCTTCTGCAAATCCATTTTGCAGGGGGGAGAGAGAGAATGTCCTTGGGTGCTAATCTGAGATGTAGAAAGCTCCCCAGGTCTTTTTTAGCAGACGACACAGCCACCTTTCTCCTTGAAGGGGTTCTTCTCCTCAGAAATGCCTTTGACGAGGGTGTCCTCCTCCACTCCCGCCTGAATGTAGTCCTTGATTTCTTCGCAGCATTTAGACGTCTAAAACAACAAGAGGGAGCGTTGAATGAAGCTATCTGCTCTTTGATTCAACAGATTTAAAAGGATTGCTGTTATTGTGCGTTTTTTTAATCGTGTCAGTGTAAAGAACTTACCAGCCACCGTTCAAGTTTGACTTCAACTTTGAGTTGGTTCACCTCCATTAAAGCCCTGTCCTTGTCCGTCAGATCCTCCACGTTTATGACAGGCATCGTCTGTCAAAGCAAAAGAAATGCTTAACATGTTCAGGATGTTAAAATATTAAAAATAGAGTTTCAAATGAGACTTACAAATGGTCACAGGCAACAGTCCTTCACTGCCAAAATCCTGCAGAAGAATCCCTCTCCCCTCTCTCAATCTGGGTTATAAAGTAATCTGCACCAACAATTCTAATCTGCTAATCTGATTTAAAGAAGCCCCATTGAAGAACGATGCCGTGTAGCTCAAGTTTGCCTACAAAGGCGATTGTGAATCACACAGGTGTCTGTTTGGATTTGTCTGCATGTTTAAAACATATATTTGTTGTCTTTTAACAAACAAATCAGAATTTTAGTTGACTGTGAGTCTGAGTGCAGATGAATGTGGGTTAAAGGGTGGTGCTTCATGCATCGGATCATTCTGATAAGAAGGCTAATCTGTATTTAGCCTCTACCTGTCAAGGTGGAGGCGTATCATTGGTCTAAACATGACTGCACGGCAGTTTTCCATTCACATCCAAAAGTTTGAAACAAACAATATTTACATCATAAAAAATGTCCATGAAAAAAGTTTTACTGTTTGTTTTGTGCATGACCAAAATAAAAAAGTGGGTGAAAACGTTGCTTGTACATCTCATGATCAGCCAGATGTTTTACCTGAAGGTCTTTTGTGGACGTACATCAGCTGATTGATAGGTTTAAAATGTCTTCCGTACCTAACTGATGACTCAAAATCAAAGGTTCTCGTCAGGTTTTCCCTGAAGTCGGCCCTTTCTGTTAGTACATCATCTCAGGAGTGGACTTATATTCAATCACCAACATAACTGATTAACTTTTGGAGGCAATCCACTTCAGAATGTGCAATTTTGGGAATCTTAACAACCCAAACATGAATTCCACAAATTTTACAGACGTAAAACATGGTTTTATTGTTGCTGTGAGTCATTCAAAAACATTTACCCTAACCCTATAGCAAACCATCTAAACAAGCTAGCTTATGAAGAGCAAGTCACCCCCAAATAAACTTTTTTTTGCTGATAAACTAAATAAATGGGTGTCTAATCGTGCTGCAGACACGTGTCGTCAATAATTTGGCACTTCAGTGCATCTTAGTTAAAATTTAAATTTTCTGCCTAAAACTGGCAGTGTTGTGCCGTTGTCAGGTAAAAACTCTGCACTGTATTTTAATTTAAAGAGCAAGTCACCCCCAAATCAACTACTTTTTTCTGATAAACTATATAAATGTGTGTCTAATCATGCTGCAGACACGTGTAGTCAATAGTTTAGCACTTTAGTGCATTTTAGTTAAAATTTAAAATTTCTGCCTGAAACTGTCAGTGTTGTGCCGTTGTCAGGTAAAAACTCTTCACTGCTTTTGAATTTAAATCTGCCATCGCTATTGGCTAAGAGGTATGCTATGATGTAAACTGGTACATTATGATGTCACAATGTCGTGAGTGTGTGTATTTGTTAGTGCCTCCACCCTCTCGGTCTGCTAGGCAACAGCATTTGTTGCATTTTTCAAACATGAAGTGGGAGTGAAGTACGCTTCTTGTAAGGGGTGACTTGCTCTTTAAATCTGCCACCGCTATTGGCTAAGAGGTATGCTATGATGTAAATTGGTACATTATGATGTCACAATGCTGTTGTGAGCCTGTGTGTGTGTATTTGTTGGCGGCTCCGCCTTCTCGGTCTGCCAGGCAACAGCATTTGTTGCATTTTTCAAACATGAAGTGGGAGTGCAGTTAGACTCTGGTAGGGGTTGACTTGCTCTTTAAACACTCGCCCTTCCAGTTGGCTATCATTCCTACGCCACATCCCTCTGATACTGGAACGCGCATAAGCAGAGGATACGAGAGAGCACTAAACACCTGTCGCTGTTTTCTAGCTCCAAATTTTTCAAATGGTGTTTTTCTTTGTGGGACTCTGGTAGTTTGTCCTACAGCTGAAGCAGTAACAGCCGGCTGTTTCTCCTTCTATGATGTTATTGAGCGGAGAACCTCACACCAGTGGTGTTCTGCTGCTAAATGTGCAATTGTGTATGAATGGACGACCCAGGGAAGTGTTGAAGTGCAGCGGTTTGGTGAGACCGCATGGTCTGATGGTTGGTTTGGTCCAAACCGTGGTATTAGCCATCACATAAACGCCCATAACTCAGCCAGTTATACAGGTATTGACCAAAACCTTGGTGTCATAATAACTCATAACTCTCTGAACTCTAACAGACCACACAAGATCTTTCATTGTTTCATAGTTCATATGAATATGAACATGAATGATGAATGTGTTGAGGATTTGACCAGAACTCCATGATCGTAGCTTAAGTTTCTGTTATGAAAATGAGGTTCATTCTAGAAACCTTCAGTGCTTTAGAGAAGCAAGATTTTAGGGTTTGGAGTTGGCTGCAGTCATGATGAAATCTATTGAGTAGACAGGGGTGATTTATTTCCAGTGAGACAGGTGCATGATGGGAACAAGATTTATTTTCCTTACAGGATTCACAAGCCCAGTGGAAAGACAGTGGATGGTGGCTGGCTCTTCCCACCCTGGGTCATATCTCCACAACCTGCCACCCTCAGGAGAACCAAGGACATTCCTGGTGATGCCCCTCTTCGTACCCACCCCCTACTCCCCCTGCTACCCTCAGCTCGATGAGGTGACACACCACCACCTATTCTATTCTATTCTATTCTATTCTATTCTATTCTATCATGGCCTGTATTTGATATAGCACCTTCTAGAGTCCTGGAACCCCCCAAGGCGCTTTACAACACAATCAGTCATTCACACCCTGGTGGTGATGAGCTAAGATGTAGCCACAGCTGTCCTGGGGCACAGGCGAATTTGGCGAGCACCACCAGCAGGCAGGTGGGTTACGTGTCTTCAGTGGTGGATTTAGCAATTTGGGGGCCCAAGGCAAACACAGACATGGGGCCCCATTACACTAAATTTTCGACAATCTTATCTTTAACTGGATTTGCGAAACTCTACCCTATTCTGACATGAGTTATTTTTGCTTTTTATTAGTCCTCCTCTTTTTTCCTGTCTTTCCCTTTGAGTGCCTTCAATATTTGCTCTGCTTTCTTCTTCCTGTCAGTGCCCCTGTGCTTTTGCCTTTCTTTTTTTTTCTTTTCTTCTATTTTCCATTTTAGTCTATATTTTCCTCCCTTTAAACATTTTCCATTGTCTTTCCTTTTCTGCTTCCTTTTGATGTTTACATTGAAAAACAACGTCACTTTCGGAAGTGAAGATAAAAGCTTTTTTAAAGCAAGCTGCTTCTTTCTCTTATTGGAGCCACTAGGATAACTCCAATTCATGTTTAATGTTTTGACTACCGCTTCGAGTTTGTTACCAATGCTCCCACCTCTCTCCTTCTGTTTCTGCTTTCTCTTCTTATTTGTGCACTTTGCAAACAACAATTTGGTGCATTACTGCCACCAACTGGATTGGAGTGGAATGACTACCAAACACTTCCTGTTTGTGCATCGAGTCTTAAAGGAATAGTCCATTGTGGCGTTAACTGAGGGGTGCTGGCTGTCAGGGCTAGGGGGCCCCCAAGCCTAAGGGGGCCCCAGGCAGCTGCCGACCTATGCCTAATGGTAAAACCGCCCCTGCGTGTCTTGCCCAAGGACACAATGACAGCGACAAACTGAGTGGGTCTCGAACCTGCAACCTTCAGATTACTGGGTGAGCACTTAACTCCTGCCACCGTCACCCCAATCATCATCATCATCATCATCATCATCATCAGTGTGTGAGCACTAACTCCATTCCAGAGAGTTTATTCTAACTTTGATGATTAAACAGTCACAGCTGCGATCCTTTTCAAGTGAACTCGTGCGGTTGTGAAAACGAGTCATCACCTCCCCGCCCCCTGGATTTCCCGGGAAGCGCTCCTGACGCTATAAAGCTGGAAGTGGCTGGGATATCCACACACACACACAGACACACACACACACACGGATTCAGTAACAACGGGAAAACTCGCGTAGAATGGAGTCGGGCTTCTTATTAGCGCTGTTTACGATCATCTCCTCGCTCCGTCAGGGTGTGACGCTCTTACGCAGCAAAGGTAAGCTGGCGCGCGCCTTTATTTGATTTGACCGACTTTAAACAAAAAAAAAAAAGAAGTCTCAAAACAACACGTTAGGTGTCTTTTTCTGTAGTTTTGTGTTTTTGGGCTTATTTAACATGTAACAATGTTTTTAATGAAAACAGGCGCCTGCCTTCTCCAGGTGGACGAGGGACCCTGCAAAGGAAACATCGAGCGCTTTTATTACAACACCATCACCCAGAACTGCGAGCTTTTCTACTATGGTGGCTGCCTGGGGAACTCAAATAACTTCAGGAGTTATCCGGAGTGTCAGAAGACGTGTTTTAGAATCCCAAGTGAGATCCTGGTGACTAAAACCTCATAAATAAAAACTATAGCTGGTGACATTGAACTTCCCACTTTTTCTGCACAGAAGTCCCACAGATCTGCAGGTTTCCCAAAGAGGAAGGTCACTGCCGAGCCATCTTGCCCCGTTACTTTTTCAACATGACCAGTATGAAGTGTGAGCCCTTTTTCTATGGAGGCTGTGGAGGAAACTCCAACCGCTTCCAAGACCTCACCTCCTGCATGGAGTACTGCAGCCCACAGAAAAGTGAGAAACATGAGAGGAAGCTGCTGCAGCGGTGAGAACGAGCACATCCCAGCAGCTTCACTGTGGTGTTTTGTGTTTGCAGCTGTTCCCATGTTGTGTCTGGACCCTCTGGACAAGGGGAAGTGTTCAGCCTCCATAACGCGGTATTACTACAACACAGCCACCAAGAGCTGCCAGGACTTTGTCTACACCGGCTGTGGGGGGAGCAGCAACAACTTTGTGTCCCAGCAGAGCTGCATGGACGTGTGTGTTAAAGGTGGCTACCTTCTGAGACAGAATCTGCTCTCAGAGCAGTTAGATGATTCAGCATCAGGCCTTTTTAAAAATGCATGCTATCTGAATAAACTGTGAGCATGACCTTTTAAAGTAATCCCTGTTATCACACGGCCTAGAGAACACCAGACAAACTATCGCTAAAAGGGTTCTGGTGCCTGAGTCACAGTTCAGAAACTCAACCGCCTCTGGATTTGGAAGCTGTACTAACCAGTTTCTTCACTCTTCTAATTCCAGGAAGGAAAAAACACGCAGCCCAAGTGAAAATACGACGGCGGGGGCAAAAGAAAATGAAACGTATCACCTTCTTGTAGACGTCTAAACCTGTACTCGAGAGTTCTCCCTCATGGTTCAATTTCAGACAAGGTTGCCTTTATTATGACTGCATCTGTTTTCTTTCCTTACATAAATAACCTGATATTTTATGTATGACATGTATGTTTTATATACATATGGCAAAAAGAGACCTTTTTTTTTGTTTATTTTGCTTCATTTTGTAATAAAATCATTAAAATAGATAAACAAACTCTGCCTTTCCTCTACTTTATTGCTCATGTTTAATAAAAACTATTGAACTGAGTGTTTCTGAAGACAAACAGTGAACTCAGACACAATCAGCCACTGCCATGGATGCATAAACACAGAAAGTCTTCTTTATATGGAAATAAAGAACAGGCCTGATTTCTTCACTTACTCTTAGCCACTTTCACTTTATCTGCAGCCTGCTCTCTCCTTCCTCACTAATGCTGCTGTCTCCAGACCTTATCAGGTAATAATGCTCTCAAGCCCATTTCTGCAGCATTCTGCAAAGCCTTGAAACCACCAGAACAACAAACGCTGCAGTGGCAGGATCATTTAAATGTTGTGGCATATGTGGAACAAGGGGAGAGGCAGCATGTTTATGTTTATTTATTTGGCAGACTCTTTTATCCAAAGCGACTTAAAATTTATAACCTATAGGGCATGTTGTGATCTGTGGGGGAAACCGGAGTCCCTGGAGGAAACCCACGCATGCATGGGGGGAACACGCAACTCCACGCAGAAAGGCCACAGCCGAGTTTCGAACCTGCAACCTTCGTGCTGCCAGGCAACAGTGCTAACAACTGCGCCACCATGCAGTATGTAAACAAGTGCACACAAAAAATTGTGTTTTAGCAGTTATAATTTTATCCTGGATAGACTAATGAGCAGAGTGCCAAAGTCATGCACACACTTGTTTGTAGGAATTTGATTCAGCATTTCTCAGATGGAGCAAAAGGGGGAAACACTCTTTGTTTCAAGAGTATCATGACTGCTTAAAGCCTGGATTGTTCCACCTGTTGGAATAACATATCTAAGGTGCTTTATAACAATAAACAGATATCTACAGAAACGACTCATGCTTTGGGCTCGGCTATAAATAGCATCAAAGAGTCAGGCAGCGTCTGGCTGGGCCTTCAAAACCAAAATTAAACTGTCTCGTGTGTGTGTGTGTGTGTGTGTGTGTGGGGGGGGGGGGGGGGGGGTCTGTTTAGGTTATGGATGTTTGCATTCATCCAAACAATTGAAATGAAGAAAGCCAGCAGCCTTGTTAATATATTTATGTTTGTTTTCTTGAGACCTTGACACCTATAGAGAAACTTTCTGCCAATAAGACATAGCTTATTTGAAAATATCAGTAAGTTATTATTTTCACTGTGGAACATTAAACACAAACAGTTTGTTAATTATGATAAAAAGTTATTTACAGATAAAAACACATCTGTCCTTGAAACTTGGTTTAGATTAACATGTGAGCCTTCAACCCGACAGAGTGCAGTGCCAGCCAAGAGCTTCATAACGATGTGGGTGATGTGGTTGTAGTTTGGGGTAAATGCCTCATGCACCCCCTAGTGGCAGATATATCAACAACAAGATGATGAAATAAAAAATTTCTCTTTGATCTTCTGATGTTCAAATAATTTTAAATGATTAAAATAGATATGTAAATTAGCCAGGTGGACGACTATTTAAGTAGTTTTCAAGTGTTTTCACAAAACTGCTAGAGCAGTATTCAGTCTTGGTCCTGGAGAGCCGGTATTCGGCACATTTTCGTTTTAACTCTGCTTCAACACACCTGATGTCAATGAGCAGGTGATTAACAGGCTTCTGCAAAGCGTGATGAGCTGCTGCACTGCTGATTCAACCAATGAATCTAGTGTGCTGGAGCAGAGAAACCACTAAAACGTGCTGTATACCGGCCCTCCAGGACCTGGGATCTCATTTATCAAACATTGCATAGAATCCTTACTAAAACCGTACTTAAGCTCAGCAAAAAAAAAAAAAAAAAAGTACTTACGCCAAGAAGGTTTGTGATCTATCAAACATGGAGTACGCACAACTGCACGCAATCTCTGCTTCATAAATCGGGGACTAACGAGAATGTTTCTCAGCTGCATTCTAGTCACATCCCGCCCTCACCACGCCCACTTACTGCCATAAATAGTCAATGCAAAGTGCCTTGTGGATCTCATGCATAGGCCGGCTGTTGCAGCGCTCCGCCAATGACGATGGCAACCGTAGATCAAGGCAGATCAAGGAAGCTCTATTTTACAGAAGCAGAAGTTGAGGTACCTGTGGGTGAGGTGGAGAAATGAAAGGAAGTGCTGTTGCAAAACAAATAAAAGAAAATCCACGGAGTGGCACAGCGCTGCTGAAGCCGTCAGTGTTGTGAATTCTTCATAGAGATCTGTGGCGGATATTAAAAAAAAATGGTCCAAACAGAATTCGATCCCCAGACTCCTGGGTGAAAGTCACGCACGCTAACCAGTCAGCCAAACAGAGATCTCCCCTGTACAAGTAGCCAGGGCGCATGATCAATCAAGTCACAGTGACAGGACACACACACACTGTCACAGACGCATGACATTCTGCCTCAATCTGTCCCCCTGTCTGTTTTCTGTGATTCAGGTTGTGTGTGTGTATGTGTGTACGCGTGTGTGTGTGTGTGTGTGTGTGTGTGTGTGTGTGCGTGTGGGGGGTCTTGTTCTGTGTGAACATGAAGCAGTACAAGTGATAATGTTGCAGGATTTCATAATTTTATCCTTCTCAGCAGCAGCACTGCAGGTGCTCTTCATGTCCAAAATGTGCGTAAGCCAGGTCCTTAGTCAACTTAAAGTTGCGCACATTTTTCTACTAAGTTTTCTTTCATAAATCCCAAAGTTTGCCTGGAAAGTTGCTTACGCAGTTTTCCGACCCTGTTTTGTGCGTAAGCAAGCTTGATAAATGAGGCTCCAGGACTTGAATTCCCCTGTGCTAGAGTGTTGGATCCCTCATGATAACTCAGACTCTTTTGTTTATTTAATTAAATTAATCAGTTTCATCCAAAGCTGGTGATTGTTAGGGTGGGGTGGTCAAGAGGTGGTGAAAGCATAATATGAAACCTTCAAAACCCAGTCTCCCCATATCCAGCTCATTCGGGCCCACCAGTGTGATACCTAATCTCTAGGATTTTAAAACACACACCTAATGATAGTGGTCACAATAATAAAAGTGCTGTAACAGTTTTGGGTTTTTATGTGGGTGCCTCTTGTTTAAAGAGACTGGTGGGGTGTTCAATCACCAAACCACAAAAACCCAGGTAAAGCCGGCCAGCCTCCCCTGTGACTGATCCGACACTGTTACTCCTGATCTGACAAGGCGAGAGCACAGATACTGGATCTGAATGATAATAAGCTTCTCTGTGTGTTGAGTTTCTGTTCAATTTTATTTTCCAGTTTGCTGAATCCCAACTTAAATGAAGGAAAAGCACAATCATTGACAGCTTTAGTATCTCACCAGGGTGCAGAATCCAAAATGCTAACACAGTTTTACAAATCTTCACACCACCTTCAAATTTGCATTATGTGTTTATTTTGAAGGACACATTTCTAAAGGTTCTTGCTTGCCTGGCACGACCCCCTTGGAAGCACCAGAAATGTCACATTACACTCTTGATTGTGAGGTTTGAAAATGCCAATATCCAGAAATTTCAGCACAAAAAATCTTACAGCATCTTATGGTGTAAAAGTTTAGAAAAGTGAATGACATCGCCTACTGTGAAACTTTGAAACCGTTTCAAGGTGGTAAAGTTAATGTTAAAATCCCACCAGTTGCCACACTTCTGTGGAAATTGTTCTGCACATTTGGCCCATCTCCTGGGGGAGCAGCAAGCTGCAGACACAGCTATGCTCTGGAACCATTTGGTGGTTAAGCCCATTATTGCTGAGTGTCAAGCAGGGAGGCACGGGGTCCCGTTTATTGAATATCTTTGGTATGACCCAACCGTGGACTTGAACCCACAATCTCCCAGTCTCAGGGCAGACTCACATACCACTAGGCCATTGAGCTGGTACCAATTGACTTTGATTTTAGCTGTGCTCAGACCATGGATGTAGTTTTGACTTTAGAAAGGGGGGGGGGGGGGGGGGGGGGGGGCATGAAGACCAGGGGGGATTTTTACATTAAATATGCAAAAACAATGTGTAAAACTGTATGGAATACTAGGAATTGTTATGGTGGCAAGGTGCAAACATACATTCAAGTCAGGAAATATGTAGACCAGGAACATCAGAACTCGATGTATGAGTATATATCCTGATATACTGAGTATGGAATGGATGCAGCTCGATTTCCATCCAGAAGCCGCATGCACTGTCATTTAAACTGAGTATGGTTCGCGTTCTGAACATCTCCAAAAATCTGCTCCCACAAGAGCACCAAATGATTAGAAGCTGGGACGTAATTTTGGGGGGGGACGGGTGGGACATGTCCCCCCCACTTTTTCAAAAGGCAGTTTTGGTCCCCTGCACTTTTTTCCGTCCAAAAACAATGCTACGCTCCATTAAATGGATTTGGTTGAGCACTAGGACCGAAACGGAAACCGGTTTACTATTAGACCCGCCCAAAAGCTAATCTATTGGCTCTGCTGATACTTGCTAACGTATTATTGGCTGTTGCTGCTGTCACTCAAGTTGTAAACAGTCAGAACGTGCTCACGTTGTTTTGCTAGTTTGGAGCCGCTAGGGAACACCGGTACTGAGTCACATCGTCAACTAGACGCTGTGTAATATCAGAGCTCAGCTCAGCTTCCATTACATAACATTTGAATAAGTGTTCATTTGTGAGTCTTTGGTAGTTAGGCACAGCCAGGAGGCAGCATGTCAAGAAAACGAAAAGTGGATATAAGAGACTTCATTCAAAGTCAAAACGTAAGTTGGAACATGTCATGTGACAGACCTGCATTAAGCTCAGACTCACCTCCTCCTTCACACACAAACTCAAAACTAACTTTTACAAACTCATCTCCTCCACATAACTGACTCCTCAGACACAATTTATTCGTATTATTATAATTATTATTTTTTTATTATTACTATTATCATCATAATTATTATTACTAGTAGTAGTAGTAGTAGAAGTGTATCTTCAAAACTTTTATCATTTAACTTTATTGTAAACTTATCTATTGCAATGCATATTTTCACATTAAAAAGCTCTGAAAAATGAACAGTATCATCATCGTCAACA